TTTTTTTTTTTTTACGATTTTGCAAGAGTGATTTGGATGGATCATAGTATATAAATGATACCATTAATATATGGTACATATGTAGAGTACTTAAAAAATTAAGTAAAAAAAACAAAACAAAAAAAAAGGAAAATACTTTGAAAAAAAATGTAGACAATAAATAAAGTTAACAAATTAAGTATAGATACCATTTTATAGCAGAATTAAAAATTATAATTTTTTAAGGTTAAGTTATAATTTTTTTAAGGTGTAAATTACAACTTTGAAGGGCATGATCGATCATCAAAAGTTAGGATCAATACTGAGAGTTCATGATCGATCATGACCTTTCTTTACGCAATTGTAATTTTTCTTTTCAAAATTATAATTTTATCATAAAAAATAATAAGTGACAGTAATACCCCCAAAAAAAAAATTTGGTCCCTTAGAGATTCCCCTAAACAACTATGTGAAGCATTACTTACAAGTGAAGTTTTGGAAAATTAAGAAAGTTGATACTCAAAGAGTCCAAAGGATTGAGAAAATGTACTTCAACACGAAAGTTCCATTTCATTGAAATTTGACTTAAAAACAAAGGCAAAACTATGTAAAATTATTTTTCAGATTACGTAGCCTTTAATGGAAAGTATTTCATTTAAAAATGGAAACTATTTCATTTAAAATGTGCATGCAATGAATTTTCTTAAAATGCACACTAACCCAATATTTCGTTCATGTCCACAGAGTTCGTGAATTATTTTGCATTTTTTTCGGTACAAAGTCGATTTAGTTTATCCTCAAAAAACTCATAGGGCTGACAACTTTCAGCACGACCCATTAACATTACTCGAGTAAAAATGGAATTAAGTTGGTTAGATTTGTCATCAAAAAGAAAAAAGAAAAAGAATAAAAATATATGAAGAGAAATTGAGAATGTTAAGTTAAGAAGTGGGAACATCTCTTTCATAAGCGATGATGACAGCTTCCTAACAAACGCTTGATCTTCGCCAAAAAGCCGAGAAAGGTATAACTTCCTAACAAACACATAGGCCACCATTAGGTAATTTTACTGGAGATTAATTGCACTAATACTCTATTAATTAATTATATAAGACTTGCCAACACCTTCTAATAAATATTTTTCCACTTCTCATTAATTGGTTACATAATATTTTGCAAGCCCCTTTTTTAACAATGCTTTAGCTATTGTCGATCTTCAAAATGTCTGTGATTGAATTTTCGCACCTGATCTATCCTCTACACTTCGCATGATTTTATGATAACAATAATAATAATAAAATAGTTTTTTTTTAATTATTGTGGACTGTTGGTAACCAATTTTATATACCCTGTGTAAATATACACTCTGTACAACTTTTTTTTTTGGGAGGGGAGGGGGAAAGGGGGTTTGAAACTTTGACCTCAAGAAGACAAAACTTTCATAGTGTAAGACGTAGTACTATTAGATCAAATACTCATCGGTAATAATAATAAAATAACTTGGCCCAAAGGTCCGGTTATTTAGGAGTAGATTTTAGAGTTAAAATATCATCATTACAACTTAAAATATGGTGATGAATATTATAAATTCATACATACAACTCGATTTCTAAAAATAGAGTAAAAAACTATTCATACCCTACTACTCGACTTTTAAAACAAACTAAATTAAAACCACGTATGACTTTAATTATCCATAAAAAAACAAATAACATTATTGTGTACTTGGAAGCTAAATCCTTATAGCATTGTATCATCAAACCGCCAAAGTTTATGTTACATCATCTAAGTGAACTTTCATCATATTCCAGTGATCTAAACAAAGATCATGTTAAAGGGTTTAATTAGGTACCTTTGATTCATCAAAATAGTTGCCACGATCACAGTTTTGTGGGTATTTGCCATCATTGTAATTAGGCCATAGACCATGAATGCTGAAATCTTCAGCAGGCTTTCCAGTCTTTGGATAGCAGCAACTTTGCCTCGTGTCGCAGTATGATCCTGGCCACTGCACCATGTATAAGACACTTCATTAACACATTCGAAAATCGAGAAACACCCGATAAGGTTTTCTAGTAATAAAAATTGTCACAACCATGTGTTTTTTGGGCTCGTGAATGCAATACAAATAACGGATGCAACATGTAATCACCCACAAATCATATGTATTGATTAAACTTGAGTTTTATGTACTTAGTAGAACTTGAACTTAAAACATGCCATTTTACATGTCAGTCTTTTGTTTGACCTCTAAACCAGTCCTGTGGGACATTACACACTAAAAAAGAAAGAAGAGTAAGGGAGGCTATTGCAAGGACAAACGAACGTGTACACTTACCATTTGAACAAAGTAATAGAAATCAAAATTTTGGGAAACACACAGAACTGCAAGGCATTGTACAACCAAAAGCTTAATCAATACAGATCGGCTGAACTTCATCTCTCTCTCTCTCTCTCTCTCTAACTAACTACTTGCGAGCCAAGACTTTTAAAGATGAGATAGCATACGGGTGTTGACAAACACCTCTATTTATAGGTAAAATGTAACGTTATGGATGGAATATGCTTTATGGTTTATCCTTAGCACTTGGTTTTAATTAATATATACATAGTTCGCGTGTACAGAAGACCACATGATGGCTTATTATTTTATATATATCCTTTAATTTCCTCATTATTTCACATGTTTTACAGACAATCCTACTCGATTAAATTTAATTTGCACACTCTAATGATCCATGTCTTTTGTAATATCTGTTTTTCGGTTTCATAAAATCTTTACATTTCGAGGAAGCTGAATGTCTTGGCCAATAATATTCGTTATGTCTAACAAAGTCAAAGTCCTTGACTAGGGTTTAGTCCTTGCCTATGATATGAAGTTATGAACCCAGAATGTAACCCCACTTTATACTGGTAAATCAAGAAACTCTTTCGGTACGAAAGAATGTTTAAATGAGCCAACTCAAATCAGACTCTGAAAAAAAAAAGTCACTCCTACAAACTAAGGATAAGGCTATGTTTCGGTAGTATACTGAAAGTGCGTAAAATGATTGCGCATGATTATATCATTTAATAATTCTAATTAGTGTTGGCACGTGACCGTGAGAAGCATGTGACAACAAACAAGTGGTGAAAAATGCGTTGATAGACGAAGAGCCTCTGTCAAAACAGTAGTTTGGGTGACCGAGCTATAGACCGACCTATCTACCTAATAAGCTTGAACTAAGTGGAGCATCTGATGAAGTGTTTCGGTTAGTAAAGATGCCGAGCAATGCGCTGAGCCGAGTAAGGAGAATGGAAGCCATTAGGTTGATTCCACCAAAGATGAAACCGAACCAGAAATAAGTAGGCTATCCTCGAAAATCAGAGGCAATACCGATAAGAAAGTTGTCTAAGTTACAGGTGAACAGAATAAACGTAACCTAAATAATACAAACCAAAAAGGAAGCCCGAGGTGGAGCCAAAACAAATTGTAAAGGATCCAGCTAAAGTGAAGGTGTGCCTCCTTGCACCAGCAATAGTAGAACNTCTTTACGCAATTGTAATTTTTCTTTTCAAAATTATAATTTTATCATAAAAAATAATAAGTGACAGTAATACCCCCAAAAAAAAAATTTGGTCCCTTAGAGATTCCCCTAAACAACTATGTGAAGCATTACTTACAAGTGAAGTTGTGGAAAATTAAGAAAGTTGATACTCAAAGAGTCCAAAGGATTGAGAAAATGTACTTCAACACGAANGTGGAAAAAGTAAGAAAGTTGATACTCAAAGAGTCCAAAGGATTGAGAAAATGTACTTCAACACGAAAGTTCCATTTCATTGAAATTTGACTTAAAAACAAAGGCAAAACTATGTAAAATTATTTTTCAGATTACGTAGCCTTTAATGGAAAGTATTTCATTTAAAAATGGAAACTATTTCATTTAAAATGTGCATGCAATGAATTTTCTTAAAATGCACACTAACCCAATATTTCGTTCATGTCCACAGAGTTCGTGAATTATTTTGCATTTTTTTCGGTACAAAGTCGATTNTTTGACTTAAAAACAAAGGCAAAACTATGTAAAATTATTTTCCAGATTACGTAGCCTTTAATGGAAAGTATTTCATTTAAAATGTGCATGCAATGAATTTTCTTAAAATGCACACTAACCCAATATTTCGTTCATGTCCACAGAGTTCGTGAATTATTTTGCATTTTTTTCGGTACAAAGTCGATCTAGTTTATCCTCAAGAGACTCATAGGGCTGACAACTTTCGGCACGACCCATTAACATTACTCGAATAAAAATGGAATTAAGTTGGTTAGATTTGTCATCAAAAAGAAAAAAGAAAAAAGAAAAAGAATAAAAATATATGAAGAGAAATTGAGAATGTTAAGTTAAGCAGTGGGAACATCTCTTTCATAAGCGATGATGACAGCTTCCTAACAAACACTTGATCTTCGCCAAAAAGCCGAGAAAGGTATAACTTCCTAACAAACACATAGGCCANTTAGTTTATCCTCAAAAAACTCATAGGGCTGACAACTTTCAGCACGACCCATTAACATTACTCGAGTAAAAATGGAATTAAGTTGGTTAGATTTGTCATCAAAAAGAAAAAAGAAAAAGAATAAAAATATATGAAGAGAAATTGAGAATGTTAAGTTAAGAAGTGGGAACATCTCTTTCATAAGCGATGATGACAGCTTCCTAACAAACGCTTGATCTTCGCCAAAAAGCCGAGAAAGGTATAACTTCCTAACAAACACATAGGCCACCATTAGGTAATTTTACTGGAGATTAATTGCACTAATACTCTATTAATTAATTATATAAGACTTGCCAACACCTTCTAATAAATATTTTTCCACTTCTCATTAATTGGTTACATAATATTTTGCAAGCCCCTTTTTTAACAATGCTTTAGCTATTGTCGATCTTCAAAATGTCTGTGATTGAATGTTCGCACCTGATCTATCCTCTACACTTCGCATGATTTTATGATAACAATAATAATAATAAAATAGTTTTTTTTTAATTATTGTGGACTGTTGGTAACCAATTTTATATACCCTGTGTAAATATACACTCTGTACAACTTTTTTTTTTGGGAGGGGAGGGGGAAAGGGGGTTTGAACCTTTGACCTCAAGAAGACAAAACTTTTATAGTGTAAGGCGTAGTACCATTAGATCAAATACTCNGGAAAGGGGGTTTGAAACTTTGACCTCAAGAAGACAAAACTTTCATAGTGTAAGACGTAGTACTATTAGATCAAATACTCATCGGTAATAATAATAAAATAACTTGGCCCAAAGGTCCGGTTATTTAGGAGTAGATTTTAGAGTTAAAATATCATCATTACAACTTAAAATATGGTGATGAATATTATAAATTCATACATACAACTCGATTTCTAAAAATAGAGTAAAAAACTATTCATACCCTACTACTCGACTTTTAAAACAAACTAAATTAAAACCACGTATGACTTTAATTATCCATAAAAAAACAAATAACATTATTGTGTACTTGGAAGCTAAATCCTTATAGCATTGTATCATCAAACCGCCAAAGTTTATGTTACATCATCTAAGTGAACTTTCATCATATTCCAGTGATCTAAACAAAGATCATGTTAAAGGGTTTAATTAGGTACCTTTGATTCATCAAAATAGTTGCCACGATCACAGTTTTGTGGGTATTTGCCATCATTGTAATTAGGCCATAGACCATGAATGCTGAAATCTTCAGCAGGCTTTCCAGTCTTTGGATAGCAGCAACTTTGCCTCGTGTCGCAGTATGATCCTGGCCACTGCACCATGTATAAGACACTTCATTAACACATTCGAAAATCGAGAAACACCCGATAAGGTTTTCTAGTAATAAAAATTGTCACAACCATGTGTTTTTTGGGCTCGTGAATGCAATACAAATAACGGATGCAACATGTAATCACCCACAAATCATATGTATTGATTAAACTTGAGTTTTATGTACTTAGTAGAACTTGAACTTAAAACATGCCATTTTACATGTCAGTCTTTTGTTTGACCTCTAAACCAGTCCTGTGGGACATTACACACTAAAAAAGAAAGAAGAGTAAGGGAGGCTATTGCAAGGACAAACGAACGTGTACACTTACCATTTGAACAATGTAATAGAAATCAAAATTTTGGGAAACACACAGAACTGCAAGGCATTGTACAACCAAAAGCTTAATCAATACAGATCGGCTGAACTTCATCTCTCTCTCTCTCTCTCTCTCTAACTAACTACTTGCGAGCCAAGACTTTTAAAGATGAGATAGCATACGGGTGTTGACAAACACCTCTATTTATAGGTAAAATGTAACGTTATGGATGGAATATGCTTTATGGTTTATCCTTAGCACTTGGTTTTAATTAATATATACATAGTTCGCGTGTACAGAAGACCACATGATGGCTTATTATTTTATATATATCCTTTAATTTCCTCATTATTTCACATGTTTTACAGACAATCCTACTCGATTAAATTTAATTTGCACACTCTAATGATCCATGTCTTTTGTAATATCTGTTTTTCGGTTTCATAAAATCTTTACATTTCGAGGAAGCTGAATGTCTTGGCCAATAATATTCGTTATGTCTAACAAAGTCAAAGTCCTTGACTAGGGTTTAGTCCTTGCCTATGATATGAAGTTATGAACCCAGAATGTAACCCCACTTTATACTGGTAAATCAAGAAACTCTTTCGGTACGAAAGAATGTTTAAATGAGCCAACTCAAATCAGACTCTGAAAAAAAAAAGTCACTCCTACAAACTAAGGATAAGGCTATGTTTCGGTAGTATATTGAAAGTGCGTAAAATTATTGCGCATGATTATATCATTTAATAATTCTAATTAGTGTTGGCACGTGACCGTGAGAAGCATGTGACAACAAACAAGTGGTGAAAAATGCGTTGATAGACGAAGAGCCTCTGTCAAAACNACCAAGATCCGGCAACCCCGTGGAGCTTTGGTCTCTCTCTCTCTCTCTCTCGTAGCTTAACGTGACTGTCTCATTCTCTTATATAAAAATAGAACAAGGAAGGTAGGTGGGTTGAAATATATTATGTAGTTGTGATACATACATGAAGTATCATCTAGCTTTCTCTCCAACCTTATGGATAATATATAACAACCTTATGGATGTTTTTCAAGTTGTTATCTAGCTGAAGTTCAAGGTGTTTTGACACGCAATTTTGGACCTTTTTCAATATTTTATTGTTTATTAATGCTATTTAGACTAAATTTATATGGACTCATGAATAAAATTATATGTTATTAGTGGTAGGGATGTCAAAATATGATACGACACGAAATTAGAAGGTGTGAGATCTTCTTTAAGTCATCCGTTTTGTAAATGAATGAAGTTAACACGATGATTAATAGACGAATCGAGTATAGATAAAACCAATAAAAAAAATATATAACCTGATTTGTTTATATATCGGTTATACATAACACAAACCGATATATTACCTGATTTCTTTAAGTCATCCGTTTTGTAAATTAATGAAGTTAACACGATGATTAATAGACGAATCGAGTATAGATAAAACCAATAAAAAAAATATATTACCTGATTTGTTTATATATCGGTTATACATAACACAAACCGATATGACCCAATTCGTCAAAAATAAATTAATAAAAGAATTTGGGTCTGGATAGAATGTGTTTTTGACAAAAACACATTAAAATTCGACACTAACCTCTTTCACTCAACACGATTGACAACCTCAATAAGTAGAGTTTCGTAGTCTCCTTTTTCTCCTTTTTTATAAATGTATTATACAGGAACTTAACATGATTGTTACATGCTCNGCGTAGTCTCCTTTTTCTCCCTTTTTTTTTTCTATAAATGTATTATACAGGAACTTAACATGATTGTTACATGCTCTTATATATAAACATAGAACCAGGCAGGTGGGTCATGTAATACACCGCCCAGTTAGGTTATACCATTGCTTAAAAGTCAAGCTCTTTAACTATTGAGTTTTGTTTTGTTTTTTGTTTTTTTTTTTATTAGAGGAAAGGGAGGGAACGATTAGTAGGTAGTAACATGTGAATTGAATCTTGCTTAAGGGTCCTCGACTAATCAAATACTGTTTGATAACTATGACGATTCTAAATAGATACGACTTACCATTATTGAGTTCAAATAGTACTTTAATTCCATATCGAATAAAAAAAATATATTAAAAATGTTATAATCTACCGTGGATAAGTTTATTGAGAGTTAATATGAAATAAACAAATCAATTCCTTATTCTATAAATAGAGTTGAATGTCATTTATTTATTTACTAGATTACNCGACTTACCATTATTGAGTTCAAATAGTACTTTAATTCCATATCGAATAAAAAAAAATATATTAAAAATGTTATAATCTACCGTGGATAAGTTTATTGAGAGTTAATATGAAATAAACAGATCAATTCCTTATTCTATAAATAGAGTTGAATGTCATTTATTTATTTACTAGATTACTCGATGAATTAATACATAGAGATTTAAATTAAAGAGAGAAACTACACAAAAAACTCTCTCCAACTTATGTATAATCCTCTAATACCTAAGGAAGCATATAATTTGAACTAAGTCTAGCACCAAAATATTCAAACTCGATTCGTTCTATAGCCAAAATCTAATTTCCAACACACACTTACGAAAGAATGTATAAAAGTGCAGGAGAACATCAAAAACATCCCACTCAAATTGCCATTTCTGTGNACACCAAAATATTCAAACTCGACTCGTTCTATAGCCAAAATCTAATTTCCAACACACACTTACGAAAGAATGTATAAAAGNGCACCAAAATATTCAAACTCGATTCGTTCTATAGCCAAAATCTAATTTCCAACACACACTTACGAAAGAATGTATAAAAGTGCAGGAGAACATCAAAAACATCCCACTCAAATTGCCATTTCTGTGAATGTACTTGTGATATGGACATGGGGTGTCATCTTATAGCTTTTTTTAAATGTGCCCATCTCCATTCTTAGAGATGATGATAACTACATGTTTGGTTGTTGGGTTCAAACTTGTTTTGGAGTCTCATTTCATTGCCGTGACTAACACGACTAACTACAAGTTCGAAACTTCTAAGGCATCTTGGATGACTTCCAAGATTTCCTTGTCACCATTGCCACCCGCCNTCGTGACTGACACGACTAACTACCAAGTTCGATACTTCTAAGGCATCTTGGATGACTTCCAAGATTTCCTTGTCACCATTGCCACCCGCCATTTTTTTTTAAATACCGTGAAAGTATGCATAATCATACGAATTTTGAACTTATGCTTATAACAATTTAATTAGATGTAGAGATGATCTAAATTCATGCACACTAATTCAACACCATATACAGAGTTAGATCAACAACTTTTATTGAAGATTCAAATGAGTATTCAATACAAATGGCCATAATCAAGCATATGATGGAACCAGAGAGAGATGATGAGACTACCCCTCAATACATGTCTAGAATGAAGGGAACTCAATGTTGGTACCACATTTCCCACTGGGAAAAACAGGGCATTCTATGAGCTTGGACCCTGAAGTGTCCACACAAGTATAAATCTGGTAAAGCTGGCTGTTACCAGATGCATCAACATTGCATTCAATCCAAGGAGTGTACCCTATTGAGTTTTTTATAGCTCCTTTAATGCTACTTAAGCTGTATAGACCCCCATCTGGGTTGATACCTGCACCATTTTGTTTCTCCAATTAGTTACATAACCAAGTACAAAAAAATTGTAATGCAACTTGTACGGGTCAACTTGAACTCAATTCGATCCCAACCCCGAATATTCAGTACTAAAAAATTAGGGATACAATTTGGACAGGTCAATCCGAACTCATTCCAAGCCCAACCCAAAATATTCAATATTAGGCAAAAGTTCGTAACACACTGGTTGGACTTGGGCAATGAAAACTCAATCCAATGTGAATACTAAGTTGGAGCCTCGAGTTCACGGAACTCAGTTATAGCCCGACCTTTTATCTCAAGAATCAAATTTAGGGTCCACCTGATTTGAGTCTGAATTCTAGTCCAAATGTTATAAAATGAAAATTAAAATTGATTTCAACTTGAATTTCAATTCGACGTTTAAAAACTAAATATGGGCAGTATTAGGGTTGGACTCAGGTGGGGTGTTTTATAACTTGGGTTGAGTCTAGGTTAACCTTTCAACCCATCCAAGTAGCATATTGTAACCTCAGTCTAGTTGAATCGATTGAAAAGGGCTACCTGCATTCCGAAGTATTTGGAGGAGACCTAGTTTCTGCTTGAGGTCAAGAGCTGATTTGAAGTAGCCATGTTGGTCGAGGACAGACTCAGAGCATGTGCCATGTTTATCCCATTCATGTGACCAAAATGTTGAACCACTGCCGCTGGGGCAAGCCAGTGTTGGCCAATTACTTTGCATTCTGCTGATCAAGTCAGATATCTGTAGCATTACATACAAGAAATTAGGATAGGGTAGGCCTTTTGAACTATAACTTTCAAGTCACGGGTTCAAGTCATGGAAACGATCACAACAGCTTTGTACCTCGGATTGCTTATACGGGCTGTTAGGATCACAGTTGGATGGGTAAGAGCCATCATTGTTGTTTGGCCAAAGTCCATGAATGCCAAAATCTGCTGCTGGCTTTCCTGTCGTAGGGTAGCAACAACTTTGCTTTGTGTCGCAATATGATCCTGGCCACTATAAGCACAACACCAAAGTGTACATGAAAGAGTGAGTTCCGAGCTAAAAATTTATGCAGACTGCTACTTTTTTATTATTTTTTTTCGGCTGCACAGAATTGTTCCAACCACGTGTACTATGAGGACTCATGGATGCAATGCGAAGCCCAAATATGCATACTCACTCGCTAACCAATTCCATTGACTAAACCCGAAATTATGCATAATTCATAACGTTCGGGTTTACGGGTTTACACATCCCGTCATTTTTTTAACCACTAAACCAATTTTTGTGAGTTGGATTGCTACTAGTACTAAATGCACATATATAAATAGTTGCTTACCTGTTGGACAAAGTAGAAGAAATCGAAACCTTGAGCAGCACATAAAAGTGATACCCACTGGACTATCCAGAGCTTAGTTAACATTGCAATGCTGAATTTCTTCTCCATCTCTCTTTCTCTCTCTCTCTCTCTCTCTGGTTTGAATTTGTTTCGAGCTGAAGTGATAATAGAGCATCGTTGATAGCTGTACTTATAGGCCAAAATGAAAAGATGTGAACTTATCCTTAGCCGTAGTCAATCAATTAAATTTCTTTCATGTGTGAAAACTGTACTGCTTCGGCTTCTCTGTGTTGTCTGTTGCCTCANCTCTCTGGTTTGAATTTGTTTCAAGCTGAAGTGATAATAGAGCATCGTTGATAGCTGTACTTATAGGCCAAAATGAAAAGATGTGAACTTATCCTTAGCCGTAGTCAATCAATTAAATTTCTTTCATGTGTGAAAACTGTACTGCTTCGGCTTCTCTGTGTTGTCTGTTGCCTCACGTCTTCTTGAAACAGACAAGAAGAAGCACATGATCGGTGCAACGAATCATAGTCGAATATTCCACAGTGGTGTCCACTTAATAGTCCCCTACTAATAGGTTTGTCGATAGGTCAGTCATGCTTAAGCACAGGGCCGTTAATTAAATTACTCCAGCTAGACTTGGGTTAGGTTCATTCGGGATCAATTCGTTTTTTAAACGAGTTCGAACTTGAACAAGTTTATAAACCCTATAAACTCAGTTTAAACTTGACTCATTTATGTACAAATATTCAGACTCGACTCGGATTCGGTTCGTTCAAGCTTGACTCGTTTCCTAAACGAGTCGAACTTAAACAATTTTTAAAATTTGATTAAGAAACAAATTTTTCAAACTCGACTCGAGTTCGTTTGACTAATGGCTCAATTTATGCTGTTAAGTCGTGTTTTATAAAGATTTAATTAAATTATACTTAACCCGTTTTCAATCTTTGAATAGTTAGGTTTTTATCATTTTGATTTTGTGTCACGTATAAGTCATGTTTGATTGTGTTCTTGTCGTGTTTAGTTATTTTATATTAATTTATTTATTTAACAATTCTAACAACTTCACCAATTTATCACATGCTCGCTCTCTCTCTCTCTCTTTTTAATGTCAATTTCATTTCAATTGGCTAATCATGTCTAAAATTTGNATCATGCTTAAGCACAGGGCCGTTAATTAAATTACTCCGGCTAGACTTGGGTTAGGTTCATTCGGGATCAATTCTTTTTTTAAACGAGTTCGAACTTGAACAAGTTTTTAAACTCGTTTAGAAAATAAACCCTATAAACTCAGTTTAAACTTGATTTGTTTATGTACAAATATTCAGACTCGACTCGGGTTCGGTTCGTTCAAACTTGGCTCGTTTCCTAAACGAGTCGAACTTAAACAATTTTTAAAACTTGATTAAGAAACAAACTTTTCAAACTTGACTCGAGTTCGTTTGACTAACGGCTCAATTTATGTTGTTAAGTCGTGTTTTATAAAGATTTAATTAAATTATACTTAATCCGTTTCCAATCTTTGAATAGTTAAGTTTTTATCATTTTGATTTTGTGTCACGTATAAGTCATGTTTGATTGTGTTCTTTGTCGTGTTTAGTTATTTTATATTAATTTATTTATTTAACAATTCTAACAAGTTCACCAATTTATCACATGCACGCTCCCTCTCTCTCTTTTTAATGTCAATTTCATTTCAATTGGCTAATCATGTCTAAAATTTGTAGGTCTAAGAAAAATGTTGCTTTTGGGTTCTTTTACGCCACGGTATACTCTCGTGGTTCTTAATCTATTTTTCGTTAACATTTAATTAATCATATGAAATTCTTTTTAGTTTATTTTAATTTGTCAATTTAGGGGTGTCAATGATATGAAGTTATTTTCATATCGTGTCACTTTCGTATCTTGTCATTTTCGTGTCATATCATTTTCGGTATTTGTCGTGTTCGTATTAATATTTGTGTTAATATTCGTATCAATAAAAAATTATTTAACTCTACAAAAACTCATATAAATCTATTTTTAAAATAAAAAAATTACCAAATAATCATTTTCTATGTACAATACCCATTAAATATTTATTTTTTTCTACAGTACCCGTTAATTGTATTATTCGTGTCTAACATTAATTTGACCTATTTATTTTACATATCAATTAATCGGGTCATTTTCGAATTTTGGGTTAGATCAAGTTCGACTTCGAGATCGAGTTGGTGGGTACAATTGGCGTCCATATTTGTCATCACATGGAAGGCTAGTGTCATCATTCACAAGAAGAAAATACAACGGCATCAGTCGGCCAGTATGAAACTTTGGTTGATTGGCTGGTCTCCAGATCTCTAACAACTAATGCGTTCAGACTAACCTAATTGATGAACCGAAGACTTCAGAAGTGGTGGTTGTTACCATTTTGTCATCATAGTTATCAAGTTATCCCCTAAAACTTTGTGGAAGATCAGAATGAACTTGTGGGAAAATGGTGAAAATGAATTGACACGGTTCTGGATTTGGATCATTTTTATGCTACAGATCCATTCGGATCATAAAAGTAGATCCGCCACAGTATTCGAAAGTAATTGTGTCAGACACTACTTTTCATGGTTCACTGTATGATTTTAATTAATAGACTCATTTTCTTTGCACTGTCAAATCTACTCATGCCTGATTAACATGCTATCTTATCCCTTCTAGTAATTGAATCTGTTCAAGGATTCCAAGTGGGTAAGATGCCAAATTGCAGACATTGCATATTTCTGTTTCCACAGTTCACAAATTTGTTGAAGCCAAAACCAAGCCAATGTTTAAGGATCTTCTGTAAGAAACTGGTGATACTTAGCACATTACCCACAACACTGAGCTCCAGTACCATAATAGGAGCATCCAGTTAGTTGGTTAATATCCAAGCTTGGGAGGTCAGACTTAACCAATGTGGACAAGCTCTCCCAAAGCTGAGTGTGACCCTTGCATTTTATTATCCCATATGACACAAGACATGGTAAAATCAGCAGCTGAAATGGAGCACTCATTAAATTAACCGGTAATCTAGAATATGAATCATTCGTATCTCACGAGTATGGTTAAATAACTCTACAAATGTATTACAGGGGAGAGTATTGTCACAATACCGCCTATGTACACTTTAACAATATGATTAGACTGAATTCTGCTTTTAATCAATTCTACTACCAGTAATCTCCGCAAGAGCACTTCCCACCTTCAAAATGATGGAACCGCTGCATATCTCTGACAATTATACGTCTACGGAAGATAGATGATAAAAGTTTGGCAGCAGAATGGCAATCCTTGCAGATTCTAAGGTTCTTCACAACACGAATAGTTGTTCCAGGGGGACTGTTTAGGAGACCAAAAGCAATAGCCATTTTCTCACTATGATATCTAAGGGTTGCTTCTTTCTCTTCCTCTTCCATGTCTGGGTGAAGTACCAAAGAAGTATCAGGAATGTACCCAACTAGTTTCAATTCCCCAACCAACTTATCAAGTGCCTGGTGCAGCTCTCTATACTCGATTCGTGTCCCATCCCCAGAGAAGAATTCATGCACTACATTGTTCACCTCTATTGAGCTACACCCAGGTACCTTTACCACTCCTCTATCTTTCATCAGCTTTCTGACATAGTTGACATCTTCCCACCTCCCAGATTTTGCACACATGTTTGAGAAGATCACGTAATCCCCACCATGAGATTCATCCAATTGAAAAATATGCTCAATTACACGCTTCCCTAATTCTATGTTTCCATGGCTGCCACAAGCAGCTAACAATGTCCTCCAAAGTATTGGTGTGGGCTCAATTGGCAGTTCTTCTATGAACCTATAAGCATCATTTAAGTGGCCAGCTCGAGCTAACAAATCCACCATGCAACCATAATGCTTTATCCCAGGAACAATGCCATATTTGTCTCTCATATTGTACAAATATCTCCAACCATCCTCAACCAGTCCACTGTGATTGCACGCATACAAAAGACCCAAAAAAGTTATCCCATCAGGTTGAACTTGAGCCCTTCTCATCTCTTTAAACATCGATATGGCTTGGTAACCATGGCCATGAAAAGCATAAGCCACAATCATTGCTGACCATGCCGGAGTATCTCTAAAAACCATGTGCTCAAATACAGAAACTGCATCGTCCAAGCTCCCACACTTTGCATACATATCAATAAGTGCAGTGTTCACCTTAACATATTGATCAAACCCATTCTCCTTAACATACTCATGCATCCACTTTCCTATGTCCAATGCTCCTAATAAAGCACAGGATGAAAGAATGCTAAGCATTGTAACATCAGTTGGCTTAATAGTTCTCTCTTGCAAATCCTGAAACAACGACAACGCCTCATTTGGCTGACTAGTTCTAACATAACCAGTTATCATCGCATTATAAGTTACCACACAAGGTTCCAATATCCTATCAAATACACAACGAGCTGAACAAATGTCATTGCACTCAGTGTACATATTCACTAGAGCAGGACACACATATATGTCAAGGTTTAGCCCATGTTTTATAGAAAGGCAATGCAATTGTTTGCCTTCTTGTAAAGCTTTGGCACTCGCACATGCCTTGAAGAGAGAAGGGAAAGTATAGTAATCAGGGACAAGGTCAAAACATAAAATTTGCGCGAAAAGCACAAAAGCACGAAGTGGGGTGTCACTGCGGGCATAGCCACGGGCCATGAAGTTGCAGACGACAATGTCTGGCTGGGGAATTCTGTCGAACAATAGATGGGCATGAACCATGGAGGCACTGGTGGGATTAAGAGTACATACATTAATGAGCTTGGTGATTACACTGGTGTCATTTTGGAGTTGGGTTTTTATGGAAAAGGCTTGGATTTGCTCTAGTTCTTTGAGGGAAGTACATTTGGGTAGAAGAGAGAGTAGGTGAGGTGACTCTGTGGTTGCATTTGTGAACAAGTTGTTGGTATTAAAATTCGAGTAAGAGAGTGTGTTTAGTGACAGAGCTGAGATTGTCATTGTAGAGGTTGAATGTGTTTTGTGTGGGCTTATTAAGCAACTCCAACCATAGTTGACATTACCAAAGATTGCCTCGTAAAAATCCAAGTAAACCATTTGCCATAAGAGAGTTTGCTAGGCGGGCGGGTGGGTGAGTGCCATCATCTCACTAGATAAGGGGCTACTGTTTTTCGTCACTTCACTAAAAGCAAAATGGACTTGCAAAGCAAAGGATACATATTGTATTGAAAACAATAAGCTTATGCCAATGCTGCCCATCACATCAATCTTACAAAAGTATCAAAATTCAAAAGGGTAAGTTTTGGTTTAAACGTAGACTCAAATTTAAAAGACGGTGAAACATGACTATTAAATCTTTAAAAGAGGGTCGTTAAGAAAACGAATTTGAGAAAACTAAATGAATGTATTACATTATTCCTATTGTATATATGTAAAAGAGAGTATCATGATATGTGTAATTGAGAGGAGAGGTTAACGGGATATACAAGATTNGAAAACGAATTTGAGAAAACTAAATGAATGTATTACATTATTCCTATTGTATATATGTACAAGAGAGTATCATGATATGTGTAATTGAGAGGAGAGGTTAACGGGATATACAAGATTGTCCCATAATCTATAGGATAGAATACATATAGGATAGAATACATAATCTGTGGGAACATAACTTAGAAAGAAAATAAACACAAAACATGGAATCAGAGAAGTAATAAGGGAAAGGAATCCGATAATTCCAATACTCCCCTTCAATAAGTTACTCGTGTTTGAATAAAAAAAGAGGTATCTTTTGTGTTTTAGTCTGTTTTACTCAAATTCGAATTTAAATAAGTTTTGAGTAAAAATTAGAGAGACTCTCTAACTTGAGCCATTTTACAGATAAAAAATATACAATTAATGCGGTTAATAATACCAATAAAATTCCGAGTCTACTCTACCACAGATCAAATCACACACAGAATATTGTGAATTCACAGGGCCTTTAGTCTAGCCCAGATTGAAGCCCAATTAAGACACCCACCTTACTCCAGCACATCTAAAAGCCCAATACAAGCACTAGCCTTACTTTAGCCCAAATTAAAGCCGAGACACGCACTTACTCCAGCCCATATAAAAGCCCAATGGTGATATGGTCCTTACTTCAGCCCAATGGAGACATGGTCCTTACTCAGCTCAAATTAAAGCCCAATGGAGACCCTTACCTTACTTCAGCCCAGATGAAGCCCAATGGTGACATGGTCCTTACTCCAGGCCAACTTTTCGATTGGATGGATTCTACACATCCGTACAACCGCACGCGCTTTTACTCCAAACGACCCGCAAAAGAAGAAACCGAGTAAACCGATTCCAGACCGGCCATTGAAGCACGTGCCCTAATTAAGACGCAGCTCTGATTCATCGCCACAACAGAGACAGAGACGGAGAGAGAGAGAGGGGCGGAATCTCCATCAGCAGCTCTCTCTTTCTCCGATCAAAAACCCTTTCCCTCCCACCCCAGAATTCGAATTCGTGAGCCATATGAATGTTTCATCATATGGTTCACCAATCATCATATTTTGATGCGACGATCGAATGCTCGTACCCTTGATCCAAATCACAACACTACCAACGGTAATATGGACTCGATCAAGCATCAATTCCGGCCAAACCCACCCTTCCGATCCAGCAATCTCTTTACCCACCGGAGTCCTAAACACAACACCACAAACACGAGGTCAAACATAATTCTCTTCACAGTTATTGCTCTGATTCTGTCATTATTGTGGTATTTATTTATTTTTTCGGCAAATAATCTCAATTCTGTGAAAAAGAAGTACGGGATTGTGATCGATGGAGGAAGCACAGGGACACGAATTCATGTGTTTGGGTATAGGATTAGGAATGGAGTGTCGGAGTTTGATTTTGGCGGGGAGGGGTGGGATTCTATGCGGGTGAATCCGGGGTTGTCGGCGTATGCGGCGGAGCCGGAGGGGGCGGGGCGATCGGTGGCGGATCTGGTGGAATTTGGGAGGAAAAAAGTGCCCAGAGAGTACTGGAAGGAGACGGAGATCCGGCTAATGGCGACCGCAGGGATGAGGTTGCTGGAGAAGGAGGTGCAAGAAAGGATTTTGGAGGCTTGCAGGAGTGTGTTGAGGTCGTCGCAGTTTAAGTTTCGGGATGATTGGGCGTCTGTTATTTCAGGTATGGGAAATATTGTTTTAGGTTATTTGATTTATGATTTTGAGTTATTTTTGGATTGTAAGCATTTAAACATTGTTAGTGTTTGATATTAGTTTTTGTTATTAGTACATGGCGAAATAATTGTTTATAGGATGTGAATGCAATGGCAGGAATGTGCTATGTATTGCAACAATTCAACGTCTTAAATTTATACGTAGAATTATAAAAAGTTGTAACTTGGCATTTTATTGTTAAAAATTCTACGCCTTAAATTTAAGGTGCTACAGATATTGGATAGTAGTATTGGATCACTTGCTGGAAAAATCTGATTGAAATGTCAATTTTTATTGGAGGTTGTGGACGCATATAATATGATTTTTCACCATGCTTATTAGCTCACTTTGATTGTTCATGATGCATTAATATTTGATACCCATAGACGAAAAAAAAGACATTATACCCAGACTTCCATACACCTCTTTGAATGCTTTAGGCAATCACAAGTACATGCAGACACCTTATAAATGGCTCATGGCTGCTGTTTCATACGGAACAATGGACTAAGAATACCTGTTTCAATTTGTGTCCATTTGCGTTCTGTTACTTGTATAGGTAACATTGGATTTTTTTTGTTGTTTTAGGCTCCGATGAAGGGGTATATGCTTGGGTTGTTGCTAATTATGCCCTTGGCACTCTTGGAGCAGATCCTTACCAAACTACTGGAATTATTGAGCTTGGTGGTGCTTCTGCTCAGGTTTAATTAAATTTTTTTCTATTTTATTTAGGGGATATGTTATTGTAAAAAATTCTGCGCATATAAAATTGTGGATAAGTTACATAATTTTAGTTCCTAGAAATTTAGGGGAAAAATAAATTGCAACACACTCTGGAACTAGAAGAATAATATGTCCCTGGATAGAAAAAAAAGGGAGGACTAGTTCACGGTATTTTATTGTATTATTTTAGGATATTGATATAAGTTTTCGTTTTTGATCAGGTATTTAATGATACATCTACCCAAGAAATTTTTGGGTTCTTATGTTGTGTCGGTCATCAGAAACTTTGTATTAGACCTCAGCCAATAGATTATTGTTTCCTTTCACTTTCTTAAGCTTTTGAAATGAGTTTTAACAATTCTGCATGGATGGTACTCTTGGAAAGGATGAGATATATGATTGTCAACCTGAACATTGGTTGATAACTATTTCAGGTAACGTTTGTCTCAAGTGAGCATATTCCTCCTGAATTCTCTCATAGAATCAAATTCGGGAATTTCTCTTACAATCTCTACAGTCATAGCTTGCTTCAATTTGGTCAGGTAACCTGAGCTTCGAAGTAGTTGTGTTTTCTCAGCGACACTTACCATTATTGTCAATGTTATAGATACTATGTTTTCCAGTATTAAATTTGACAAATTATGGAATATGTGTTTGTGTCTTTATCAGCTTATCATTCATATTTTCTACTTTGTGTTGAGTTATTACTTTTTTTCTTTCTTCATGCTCTTGGGAATTCTAGTTTTTTATGTGATTTATGGCTGTTCTTGATATGTATGCCAAGCATTCAATTGCTCATCTGTCCTATATTGATTTCATTCATCAGGAACTTGAATTTACATGTGGCAATTTTAATTCATTTTGAATGTTAAGGTTCTTTGCTGAGGGATTGAGACTAAGTTTCATTGAATTCAAGACTAGATTATCAGAGTATGTTTGAAGAATGAAATTTTCTGTAGAAACTAGAAAGGTTGAATTGTTTAAGGTGGTCAAAATTAGGGATGGATTAAAACCAAGAGACAATTGTTTGCTCTCTCCAAAAAAGCTCACTCCAGTTATGTGAAATTTTATCAAGATATGCTGATCTTTGAGTTTGCGGTTGTGACTGATATATGGGCTTTCTTTTACATATTCATCTGATAAACTTTCCTGAGCCTATTTTTGTTGTTTCCAGCTCTCAACAACACAGTTGAATACTGTTCATCAGTAGAAACGTTGTTATTAATTTGCCTTTGATATATGATTTATGCTAACTCGTTGTAATTTTGCAGAATGTTGCATTTGACTTACTGCGGGAATCCCTTGGTACGAGGGGCCTGGAATTGGGTAGGTAGAAATTCTATTCCTTTTGCTGTTGGTCCTTTATACATAATATGTCTCGTGAATCTTTAGAATAATGAATTTGGCTTATTGTGAGAGTTACTTGCTGTTATCGATCAGAAAAGCAAAACATGCAAATTACTTGTTTTGAATTGGGTAAGAAGATACACTTTTACTTGTGCTAGTGGTTCTATGCGATTTAATTTAAGGATCTCTGAACACCTGTTGTCTGGCCTGTAACCTAAATTATCGAACTGATGTATGTTTAATAATACCTAACATCTTTCTATGAATGTGGAAGATTAAACTTGGATCTAGACATATGCATACATATATTTGTTGTAGTTAAGGATGTGTTTAGTAACGTTTTCGTTTTTATGTTTTTTTTTTTAAAAACAAAAATATATTTTGTTTTTTCTGTGATAAAAATTAAAAATATAAAATATGTTTGATAGTCATTTATATTTAAAAAATTGTGAAAAAAAATATGTTTGGTATTATACAAAAAATCCACCACTAACAACCATCCAATCCCACCTCAAACCACTGAAATCCACCACTCCCCGCTCCCTAAACCAAACCCCCCCCCCCATGTCAGGAAAACCCACCCTGAAAACACCACCCCTGAAGAGTTCTTTGACGAAGGGCCAAAGCCTCTTTAACGATGGGGCAGAACCTTCGGTTGGAAGTTGCACAGAAGAGAGAAGATGGAGGAGAGCTTCCTTTATTTTGGCCTTCTAAATGGTGAGGGAAAAAGAAAAATTTGTTGTTGTTAATGAAGTTCAAAGTCGAGTCCTCATTAAATAGGGCCCCATCTTCCGCCTGTTTTTGTTTTTTTGGATGTTTTTGAGAACTGACATTGTTTTCAAAACGGATCAGTAAAAAAAAACTGAAAACATTAACCAAACATATTTTTATTTTCATTTGTCCCAAAAATTAAAAAAAAAAAAAAACAGAAACTTGAGGTTACCAAACGCAGTGTAAATAATTCCTCAAGATTGAACCATGATGCAGACCTCAGAGACTGTAGAAACAGCTAACCCACCGACAATCATTGAAGACTGGTTTGCTTATAGGCAGGATGTTTTCTTCTTCACTTGCCTTGAAGTCTCTGTGCAATATCTAGAACCCTAATATGCTTGCTTTACATGTTTTGCTAGATGGTTGATAAATGTTCTTTCAGAAGTACTTGAATTCAAGGCTGTGCCGTTTAGTTTTGAATCTTTTGATTGTTATGTAGACTTTGCCACTTATGTTATTTGTCAAGCCCATTCCTACTTATTCCCGTTTTCCTTTGCAACCCTTTTGTGTGGCAGATTTATTAGATCGATGTGATTTTTTTTCTGCCATTGCCTTGAGATAAATTTCATTATGAATATAGATAAACTATTGAGTAGGGTTGTTAAACGTGTCGGGTTAGGTCATTTCGTGTCGGGTTTGTGAAAAATTCCTAAATACTAACCTGATATGTTTAATAATCGTGTCGAGATGTGTAAACACTAACTTGACGTGACCATTAAACGTGTTACCCGAACCTGACATGTTTGACACGTTTAATAAACAGGTCATTTTCGAGTTAACACATTATATGACATGTTAACCAGTTTAACCCACATATCAAATTCTATTTGTTTAACAACTTTAAAAAAAAACCAAAAGATTTTATTGAATAAAATTCAAAGAATTACAAGAAGCAAAAGGAAATCAATTCCTAACATCCATTTCCAATTAAATGGCTTTAATCCTTCAAAACATGAAAAAAAAAACTAGAAATTTCTTCTATGGGCACTAAAAACAGCCACTTTCTATGCCTACACAATCATTCCAGCTCCAAAGATGCTCCAGCAAGACCAACAAGCAGCAGCCTCCTACACCCCCACATACCCTACACAATTCATCCATGATCATCAAGAACTACGATACATTTTTTGTTCTCAAAACTGGTAAACATCTTGATCTGGTTGCAAGAGTGAAATGACTGTAGTCCCATCAAGAGCATGAGTTGTGTATCTAAGATAATTAACAATTTGATGCGTTGTTGAACTATCAAGCCCAGTGGATATTTCACCTGATTGCATACAATCCATTAGTGCCACCAAAAAAAAAAAAAGAAAAGAAACAGTAAACAATAACGTCAACTGTACTGCGATGTCTGCTTCAACTGCACTGCCTGTTCAGCTGCTTCTCACCTCCTGTCTGTTTTGCTTCAGCCGGAGTTTATTGCCTACAACTGGAGCATACTCCTTCAGTTGGATTCATGCATTAGAATTTACATGTAAAATCATGCATTAGAATTTTAATTCCTGATCTCTGATCGCATCTCTCATCCTGATCTCTGATCCTACTGCATCTCAAATATTTCAAATCTGATCTTGCACCTATTTAACCTATTTAATTAAAATGCATTCAAGTTTCAACCCAAAAAATAAAAACAGAAACTATACTAATATACTTCCATTATGTTAAGACCATATGTTCCACATCAGTCATTCATATAATATATAAAATATACTAGCATAATAAAACAAAAACAGTAGCAAATAAGCAAAAGCAATAGCAAGATAGCAAGTCGTTTTTGAGATCATATTCTAAAAGATGACTTGCTATTGACATGTTACATGAAACTAGGGATGGCAGTGGACCGGAAAAAAATGGGTATTCGTCCAAACCCGTCCCGTTTGGATCGGGGATGAACTATACGTATTGGATGGTAGACGTATACGGGGATACTCATATAAACCCGTATGGGGATGAAGGTAGGGATGAACTTACCCTTATCCCCGTCCCGTCCCCGTTACCCGTTAAATATATATATATCCCTTTTGTTCTATGTTTTTCCATATTCCTGTTTTCTCCTCNTATATATATATATATATATATATATATATATAGTGGATATTATTCATTTGTGATGGTGACAAGTTTAGATCATCAACCACTAAAGTGTATCGGAATATTTTAATAAAGCATTTCCAAGGTCAGAATGTTTGAAATAAACATTGTTCTAGCCTTCAACCTGCTGGCTGCTACATTCTAAGACAAACTATAAGTTTTAGAGTTGTTCTAGATATTTGTGTTGTTCTGCAAGTTATGTGGGCAAACAACTGGGGTCGTCAAATGCAACAATGATTATGCTTAGCTTGGGCTTAGGCGGGTATGGGGGAAGCGGGGACGGGGATGGGGACGGAGATTATAAATTTACCCGCAAACGGGGATGGAAATGAAAATTATACTCGTTAGCGGGGGTGGACCGGGGATGGACGAGAATTTTTTAAGCGGGTACGGGGATGAAGACTATACCCCCCGCCCCCGCTTTGGTCCATTAACATCCCTACATGAAACTAAAACAAAATAAGCAGTTTCNGATCTCTGATCGCATCTCTCATCCTGATCTCTGATCCTACTGCATCTCAAATATTTCAAATCTGATCTTGCACCTATTTAACCTATTTAATTAAAATGCATTCAAGTTTCAACCCAAAAAATAAAAACAGAAACTATACTAATATACTTCCATTATGTTAAGACCATATGTTCCACATCAGTCATTCATATAATATATAAAATATACTAGCATAATAAAACAAAAACAGTAGCAAATAAGCAAAAGCAATAGCAAGATAGCAAGTCATTTTTGAGATCATATTCTAAAAGATGACTTGCTATTGACATGTTACATGAAACTAGGGATGGCAGTGGACCGGAAAAAAATGGGTATTCGTCCAAACCCGTCCCGTTTGGATCGGGGATGAACTATACGTATTGGATGGTAGACGTATACGGGGATACTCATATAAACCCGTATGGGGATGAAGGTAGGGATGAACTTACCCTTATCCCCGTCCCGCCCCCGCCCCCGCCCNTGAAGACTATACCCCCCGCCCCCGCTTTGGTCCATTAACATCCCTACATGAAACTAAAACAAAATAAGCAGTTTCTGTTCCTCCTGCAAGGCAGCACACAAAACTTTGACACTTCATGGATTCTAATCAAAAGAAGAAATACTTTAATCAGAAAAGCAAAACAAGACAAACACAAACTAATAGATTAAACACTAAAAATAATGATGTACCTTCAATCAATGATCATCATCAATCATAGTAGAACCATCTTGCTCAACGTTGATATTAATCATATTTTCTATAATGTCCTCCAAATTATTTTGTATAAGATCTAAATGAAATAAATATATACATGCATAAGAATTAAGATTTCATTATTTAAAACACAAATTCTAAAGCAATCACATAACTTATATTTACCTCTTTCTCCAAACAATCAATATTTTGTGCATATCAAAGCCTCAACAACTTTTGGCTTCAAAGAACTACGATACTAATCAAGAACCCTACCACAGGTGCTAAATGCAGACTCCGAAGCAACCGTAGAAATGAGAACACTTAACACATCATGAGCCATTAGAGCAAGTTCCGGATAACGAAATTGGTGAGCTTTCCAATAAGCAAGTACATCAAGTTTTTCATTTCTATCAACCCTTGGCTTATCCAAATACAATTGTAATTGACTTTTCTGTGCACTACAAATGAATGCTTCACTCTCATACGAGTCAAATTCCTATGTTCAAGAAGACAAAACAAGTTAAAAGAGAATCAATCTTAATATCATATAATACTAAATTAGTAACTCAATGCAAGTAAATTAAAAAAATCATATCACCATAAGTTTAGCTTTGATCCGATTGATGCTATGATGTTGTTGACTACCACGAGAACCATGATCTACGTCCTGAGAAGCTGATGTCTGTGAAGAACTAGCCTTAGAAGAATTGTGCATGTACTCATCAAACAAAAAGAATAACTTCTCACAAACACGGTTGAACTCAAATGATTCATCACCATAAAGCTTCTTATAGGAAAATTCCACAAACTAAATTTTATAACGAGGATCAAATATCACCGTAATAGCCAAAACCAAGCTATACTCCAACCAATACTTATCAAATTTCCCAAACATTTGATGTGCCATCCTCCTCATGAAAACATCTGAACTTTTCATCTCTTCACTTAAATTAAGCTAAATCAAGAAAACTTCTAGAAAGTACAAATTTGAGGTAGGATACTTGGAACTAGAAAAAACACAAGTAGCATCATAGAAAGATTCTAAGAACCTACAAATGTTTTGCACTCTATCCCATTCTTCTTGAGTTGGACAATGTCTAAAATTAGAATCACTTAGTTGCAAATGACAAAATGCACGATGATAGTAAATGACACTTGCAAAGATGAGATAGGTTGAATTCCACCTAGTTGGAATATTTTGCCTCAAAGTTCTCTTACTATCCAAACATGTTTGTGCAACACATTCCAAGAACTTTTTCTTCCTAACTTGAGATCCTTTTACATATTTCACACATTCCCAAATCTTTTCAACAACTTCACCAATTTCCTTCAAACCTTCTTGAACTAAGCAATTCAAAATATGAGAATTTCATATTTAACAAACTATAAATCTTCTCACACAAAGCAACTCTAGTATGGGTAGGAGGCATGTAAGAGAATTTCATAATTCTCTTTTTCCAACACCCAATCTTTATCAATGTAGTGTGCAGTGAGACTCAAGTAACCGTGAGTAACAATAAAAGTCCACAAGTTAGAAGCCAAACAAATCCTACCAGGCAAGTCTTGCAGTTCTTGAGAAATCCTCTCTTTCACTATAGCATGCATTTTCATAACTTCCACCCTAGCAGTATTCCTAGAAATTTGTATGACTTGGGGACATAAGTAGGTGAAAAGACTTCTAATGCCACCATACTCAACAAATTGAAATGGAAGTTCATTTCTAACAATTGCACAAATCAATAGCTCTTTAAACTTTCTTGTGTCAAATTTAAAAGATCTAGATCTCGAAGCACCATTGGATTAGGTTATAAGTAGTTGACCAATATCATAGGTGGTTCGCTTCAAACAAATTTCAGTGTGTCGCTTGAAATTCCCAGTGCCGTGCTTACTATCAACATTATAAACTTGCTTACATTTCTTACATTCGCATCTCAGCAATCCTTCTGGTCTTGGTTCTTTAAGAAAAGTATAGTTTCTCCATACTTTTGAGGTGAACCTTTGTTGACATTTATTTGTTGGTTTATCAACACCAGTGTTATTTAAGGCGTAAAGCGAACCGAAGCGACCAAGGCTCCTAACGCCTAGGCGAGAAGCGAGAAGCGAAGCAACACGCTTTACCGAAGCAAAGCGAACAGTTAAAAAAAATATATATTTTAGTTTAATTACTTCTAAACAATCTAAGTTCTAATTTTATATATACTAAATATTTAAATGCAAGTAAAACCATAAACATTTAAATTAAAAAAAACACTAATAATATCTCAAATCTTAATAACAGTCATAACTTAAACATTTAAATTCAAACAAATACTAACAATTGTATACATTTTCATATTGACAGGGTAGGACAACAAAATAAGAAGAATTAGGACAGCAGCAGAATTAGTAACAAAAAAAAAAGAAGCAGAATGAGGATAAAAAAAAAATAAAAGCAATACAGGACAGCAAAACCGAAGCAGCAATAGAATCAACAAAAAAAAATAGAAGCAGAATGAGCTAAAAAAAAAAACAGAAGCACAATGATCATGACAGGAGCAGAATCAATTGTAAACAATTTCATATGTAATTATATACTGAATAAAAAAAAGCAGAACAGAGGCACATTTCACATGTACTAAAATAATTAAACATGGTATAAGCATAGACCACTTTTTGGTACCATTTGTATATATATAAGAAAAGGAAAAAGTATAACCAAGACATATCAGAGACACTTCTTTGTAGAAGAATCTATTATTTACCCCCATTTCTGATACTCCTGCTTCCTTTTTTTATCATAATTGTCATGCAGTCGCTTGACTCTCACATCCCATAAATATTCTAAATGAATTCAGCAACACAAGAAAAAAAATGAATATGTTTTGTTCGAAACATTGTTTATTAAAAAAAAAAAAGACCAGCAATAGTTTTAAAAAAAAAGTCATTAGTGATTAAAAAATAAAAGAGACTACTAACCTGTAATCAGAAAAAAAAAAAAAAGAGTGAAGCAGAATCGCCTTTTATAATAAAGCGTTCGCTTTTTTTCTTTTTTCGCTTTTTCTCGCTTCGCCTGGGGTCCTCCAGGCGAGATAAGCTCGCCTCGCCTTGCTTCTCGCCTAGGCGAGCTTTTCAAAACACTGATCAACACCATCCAGTTCTAGCCTATCTTGAATATCAGAAGCATGATTTGATTCAGCCATGGCAACATCATCAGCTACAGGGGAAGGTCCATCAATATGTTTGTCATTCAATGGAAGTGAATTCATCCGTTCCCAACACAAATGCCAAAAAAAAAAAATATGTAAGTAAAATATATGACACACATACAAAGCATTATATTTTTGNAAGGTCCATCAATATGTTTGTCATTCAATGGAAGTGAATTCATCCGTTCCCAACACAAATGCCAAAAAAAAAAATATGTAAGTAAAATATATGACACACATACAAAGCATTATATTTTTGGTCAAAATACAAAAAAAAAACACAAATTTCAAATACAACTTGTAAAGTTAAGTAGAAAAAAATAAGTTAAGGGGAAATACTACACAGCTAGTGGCCAAGGGAATGTATGAGTGTTGTGTGCTGTAATTTGAATCAAAATGTTCTACACTTCGATTAAGTCGCAGCGCGCAGAGAGAGAGAGAGAGAGGGACAAACCTTTTCGGTTGAGCAACGATGAATGCATGAACAACGAGAACAATGAGGGCTTGAACAGTGAGCCCTCCTCTACTCCTCCAGACAAAGCAATCAGCAGCGACTGAGAGTGAGAGTGAAAAAGGGGAAAAGTGGAAGTGGGTAAGGGTTATGTTTTTTTTGTTGTTTTTATATATTTGGATAAATGTGTTAAACGGGTAATAAATGGGTAGGTCAGGTTCGGGTCAAATTATATTAACTTGTTTAAAATATACGGGGGTTGATCTAATTTCGACATGAACCCAACTTGCTTTTTTTTCGTGTTTATACGTGTTGACTTGTTTAAAACATCCATTGACCCATTTAATTTCGTGTTCGACCCATTTATTTCGTGTTCGGTTCATGTCGTGTTAACGTGTCGTGTCAAAAATTGACAGTCCTACTATTGAACTTGTGCTCAAAATGCTAAGCCGTTCGTGCAGATGTCAACTAAAATTTGGAATGATCACGCGGTCTATTAGAATAACCATATTTTTGAAGTTTTGGTCCCATTTTTGTAATTAAAGTGTCGTTCTCTTGTTTAGTGAGTGTATCATGGCAAGCCGTTTATATGTATAAGGATGTTAAGGACTACACTTGTTTTATGGATTTTACTGGGCGGGTTTGGAAATGTTAAATGGTAGAAATTTTACTTTACTTCTGAATTTTTTAGCTCTAGGTTCTGTTAATGCAGCTACTGAATCTGGTCTGAGGAGTAAACCAATGGATCCTTGTACACCAAAAGGATATACACAGGACATGGAGTCATGGAAACTGTCTCCTAGCTCTTTGGCTGAAAAGAACAAATACTTATCTACCCTGCATCCCAGTGGTAACTTCTCAGAGTGCAGATCTGCTTCATTAATGCTGCTGCAAAATGGCAAAGGTACACAAATTCTTCTGCAAACACATTGTTGTTACCCCCTTCTTTCTTGCTGGAAATAGTAATTGAAGATCCTTTCTGTTTGAATGTAGAGAAATGCTCCTATCAGCACTGCTATATAGGATCAACATTCATACCCAAGCTTCAGGGAAAGTTTTTAGCCACTGAAAATTTCTTCTATACATCAAAGGTCATAAGACTATTCTCGTATATTTTTGTTTCAGAAAAATTACTAATGCTATTTCTTTGAGATGATTATTCTGCTTGTCATTATGAGGGAATGGTTTTGAATCCTTTATTTTTCTTTCTTCAAATAGTTCTTTGGGTTGGTCCCGAAAGGATTTCTTTATGATCTAATGGTGGCTGGACAACAATTCTGTGAGGAGGATTGGTCAAAATTAAAGAGGAAGCACCACTCACTTCATGAGGAGGATTTGCTTCGTTATTGCTTCTCTTCGGCATATATTGTGGCCCTACTCCATGACAGTCTTGGAATTGCTTTGGATGATGAAAGGTACGACTTCACCACCATTTAACTAGACACGTTACAGAGTCTTCTATTGAACTTTTCATTTGCTCCTATATATCACTAAGTATCAGCTAAGGTTACATGTTTACAAGGTCCAAGGTAGGGTTCATGCCACAGCCTTCCCATGCCGTGCCCTGTTCTCCCTCATGCTTATGTGTGCATACATGTTTACCGAATCCTATTAACAAGAATTGGCCCTTGAGCAGGATTCGATATGCTAATCAAGTGCGAGATATCCCACTTGATTGGGCATTAGGAGCTTTCATCCTGCAGACTGCAGCTGACTTGGACATAGAGCATTCCAACTGGGTTGCTGCCATTATTAGAGATTACTCTTCTACATTTCTAGTTCTATTAGGCTTCTCCCTCATGTTGATTTTTATTGTATCGTATGTGTCAAGGAGGAGGAATCCCCAGTTGAAGACAATTTATGATCTAGAAAAAGGAAAGTATATAGTTACACGTGTGAATAGATGATGGCATTTTTTGGAAGATACCAGGCCTTAGTCCTGGTAGGGATCAGGAGGAAAGAGCTAAATGCCCTCAGTAACCCTCTAATAGTACAACGTCGAAGAGATCTGTGATGTGTAGCATCTTTTGAGGTTGCAACACGGGGTTAGCTGATGTTTGGAGGGCTATGGTGTAAAAAGTTCATTTGTATCTCTAATGGAAACCTTGGTATCTCTAATGGAAACCAAAGCAGGTTAAGTATGTTGTCATTGTTTAAACTATAGACAGTTAGGAAGGGTAAACCGGGATGTATGCCTGTGGAGAAAAGTGGGTTGTCGCGGTACCTTTTGCTGGTTACAAAATTGTATTAGGAAAAATTTTCACTTGCCAGCTGTGTTCACTCCTGAATTGTTGTCCAGTTGATGATAGAAAAAAGGCAAGCATTTTTTTTCTGTTCATTGCTAATACATGTGGTTTTATGTCGAAAGAAAGCATATTTCTCGGATGTTTTAGCAGTTATGTGCAATGACTGAATGTCTTTCATTGTTTCTGAATATTTCTCTCGATATGTAAACCAAGCCAAGTGTCACGAGGTCAAATTACACACACGAATTTTCTGTCTCGTGATGGCATTGAGATTTAACACTCAGTCTCAATCAACGTATACAATTGCTTATAGAAGCACACAATGAATAGAATATAGGCAAACACACAAACTAACAGCAGGCACACAAGCATTACAGGTCAAATGGCCAAATTTTTTATTTCTCAGCAAATCTAAAGGAAACCGCCTAGGGGTTTATTTACAAAACGGGCTTAAACTTTTTTGGTTGCACTGTAGACTCTAGCATACTTGTAAATAGCATATAATGTGGCGGTTACAAGCTCAGCGGCTTGGGCAATGCAAAGTATTAATTGGATTCGCCCACAAAGTTTTCCACAATCTGTTGATCATGGTTGAATTCCTCTGTAACTCCCAAAATATGCTAATCATGGCAGGGTATAAGGAAAGTTGCAATAATTGGTTAACCCAACTATCAACTGTTCATAACTGTTTTGTATGCTGTGAGCACATGCCAGTAACTTCTCTCATGTTGTGCACATGCCAGTAACTACACAGAACTGTCACGCATGTCATGTACAGCAACCGTCTGGAAAGGCCACCACCTGCAATGCACATGTCTTAACTGCTCGGAACCATCTCACATGATATGCACATGCCTTCCTTGCGACCTAACAATATCTGATTTGCCTTGACTCCATGCCAAGCGATGCCTAGCTCATAGCTTGGTCTTCCAAACTAGCAATGCTCCACAATTTGAGCCCAACAACCAGTTTTGTTTGCTTGTGCCCATCCATGAGTTGCCTTCCTTTATCATGCATGGGGTTTCAATCAACATATTGATCGTGCTCAATTTACCCATGCATGCTCTGACTTCTTTAGCTATGCATGGGATTTTCGTCAACGACGGGTCCCACCGACCATCGGCCCCACATCTCTGGTTTCGAATTTTAAAATGCCTTACTTCCACCCATAACAAGCATTTGTTGGAGTCATGTTTTTCTTTGGTGTGTCAAAGCTTAGGGGTATAAGGGTCCATAGAGAGGCTGCTCTAGCACCCTCTTCGCAAACACTCCCTATAATAACATCAGTGAGCATATCCCTATTGACAGTACCAGACATACTCTAAGTCGATGAGTCATAATAACTTAAACCAAGAGCATNACACCCTCTTCGCAAACACTCCCTATAATAACATCAGTGAGCATATCCCTACTGACAGTACCAGACATACTCTAAGTCGATGAGTCATAATAACTTAAACCAAGAGCATAATTGTTACACGTCACTTGAGTCTTTGTTGAACCACTTTTTAACCCAACCAAATACACTTCCAAGTCTTTAGGAAGCCAACTTTGTTATAAGGATTTGCTTCACCAAAGTACAACCCAATTTGATTAAGGCATCGACACCTTTGGGCGAGACAGTCATATGTCAATGCCAAGCCAACGAGTTAAGGGGGTAACACCAGACCACTTTGAGAAACTTCCATTTCACGCATTTGGTGCAAAAATTTTGATGCATATAACATTACTCTTCAGGAATTAGTGGTAGCATAGTTTACCAAGTATTATTTTTGATTTTCTGGTCAATCCATGGGCCTATACAAGATCGGCCTGAAATGAGGCCGGGTCATCAGACCTAATTGATAACAAATCAAAATCCATGATATTATTCATTGGGTTATCTAAGGGTGTCTATGGGTTGGGCCAAGTTAAGTCCGCGAATTTTTTTCGGGCCGGATGTGAATAGTGTAAGTCCAAGTCCTTACTCAAGTAATTTATTGGACGGGCTGGGTTTCAGGTAAGGGTAGACTACCCGCAGTTTAACTCGTGAGCCTATTGGGCCGACTTGTTAGGCAAGCAAGCTCGCGAGTTTTTTATATGTAACTTTATTTAAAAATAATAAATATTTTTGTAACTTAATATTTTTGTTAATTATATTTTTGAATCAAAATTAGAGTCAAAATGGATAAAAATAAAATAATTAATAATTTTTTTTGATTAGAAGATGAACTATATCCAATAGAATGAATACATCTCAACTAGGTTAACATCAACTCACTTATCTATCAATTACATTATTCTACCTTTTAAAATTTGTATGTTTAATTCATGGAAAAGAAAATAATATAATATATTATAAATAGTATCTAAATTTTAAAAACTTTAAATTCCAACATTGAGAGACTTATTTCAAAGTTTCAAAATTAATGGTCAAAAAGTATAATTTTTTTTTCAATGGAAGGGTAGGTGGGTTGTGTGGGCGGGGCTAGGTTGGGTTTTAACGGGTTTTTTGGGCAAGTTATTGGGCAGAGCTTTGGACCAAGTAATGACTTTAGGGGCAAATCGAAGCCCTCTTTTTAAAGATATTAGGCTCGAGTAAACCAACTATCAAATCTATCAGATTTCGGACCCGATAACGGGATCCGTGGATAAACCGGGTCATGAACACCCTTAGGTTATCAAACTATTCATGGACTACAAAGGCTTAATGGATCATTGGTTTGAAACCAGTTTTTGTCGATCTATTTAATATTACAGTTAGGAAGTTGAATTATCAATTTATAAAAATAAAACAACGGTTAAGATGAATATAATTTTATTTATTTTAATCTAATAATACAAAATTTATTTTAATTTTTTTTTCGAACCAAAAAAATCTACTTCTCTACACGGTTTTTAATGTCAAAAAATTTAATCAACACATTTCTTAATGTCAAAAATTCAATCAATTCACCCCTTAACTCTTTCTTTATTTTAATTGTCATTTGCTTTGTTAAAAATAATTACATTTATTTAAAATATAAATATTATAAGATCAATATGGAGGAAATTATTACTAGTATTTTAATATTTAAGCTAGGGGACCTACATTGGACTTTGGGGTCTGTATTACTCTAAATTAAAATATGATGGGGACACCCACTTGTTTGGAGGAAGAGAGACATGGTCAAGTCTAAAAACTACAAAAGCAAATTAATTAGCCAACTTAGGCTATTTCTTCGAAGTCACCAAACATTTAGTCAAAATTGCATATGCGTAGGCTGCTATTTTCAATAAATAATTTGAAATGGGAATAAATCAAGAAGGGGTGCTGATGGATCATCAAATTCACTCAAGAAAAAGTCAAAGCAAAATGAGTTTAAATAATTCAATCGACAACTTTGTTTAATTTGCGAACTAAGTGTTGTTTTCCGATTCATTTGAATTATCAGAATAAAAATTTAAAATTTTTGATGTGTAATTGGTAAAGAGATTAAAGAAATATCAAATGCATACTAAACGGAAAAAATATGTTCTTAGTTCTAATTAGGCCTATCAATAGATCAGGTTCTAATTCGAATTCAAATTTGATTAGGTGAATATAGATTAATAGTTTTTATCGACAATTCGAATTTAAATCTGATATCTTATATTTTTTTTTTACGGATTCAAATTTGGATATAGGAATATCCGATTAAATTATGATATGATTCAAATTATTTATACAAATATTAAAAAACTTAAATGATTATTTAAAGAAATTTAGTTATAATTTGTTAAAATTGAGTTAATTAAGTTATTCGAATTTTCGGATCAAATTTTGAATTGTTGGAAAATTCGGATATAGATCACGAAAATAAAAATTTATCAAATTATCGAATCGAATTCAAATTAAACATTTGAATTCAAATTTAAATCAGTTAAAATTTGATCCATTAACAAATAGACTTCCAATGCCATTTAAGTTCATGGGTGAGCTTCCAAGAAAATGTTTCCAAGATGAAATGAGAGAAGGATGAAACCCAAATTAATAATGACAGGCATGTGAACGTTTGAAACTATGGCCAAATGTACTAAACAAAGTGATTGTTATTTGCTTAGGAAAACCTGTACATTACTCCAAGGACTCTCATATAGCTGCTCGGTGGGTGGGTGGGTTTGTTTTTTTTTTTTTTTGGGGGGGGGGGGGGG